CGCTTCTAGTAACAAGTGCCTTACTAGTAGTAACAAGAAGCTACTAGTCAACATCGACGTGTTTAGATGAACGCCATGCAGGCGTTGGCCATTACGGCCGACAGCTTCGCAAAGCTCGAAGTGCGCACGGCGCAAAGCTTCATTTCCATCAGCTTCAACAACCTACAGTGCATTCGGACCGATTTGTATATATGGACATATCCCCCCATGTACCTTTTAGTCTTACTTGCATTTTTGTCCACTCTGAGTCTCTATCATGGAAGTAGCATAGGTCTCCCAGTGAAGACTATGTTCCAATAGAAACAGTCCTGTTTTTACACAAGTCAAGGAGTCCTTTGGGCGCGTCTCTTGGTGTTTTTCGGTCATGTGGGTCTCGTTTTAGCTTGCAAGGTTCAGAGATCTTGTTTTATCTTCTTGCTGAAGAGATCCTACAAAAGATTCCACTTTTCTCTGGCCTGAAGCTAAGATTCCAATCTCTTCCTGTGTTGGTGTTTGTGTCTTGAGATTCGTTCAGGTCAAGGAATTGGCTTGGTCTTACAGGCCTACGGCAAGCCGCATGTCAACACTGGAAGTGCACTCACTGGTCGATAGCTGTTCAAATTACGCGGACCAGGGTCACTTGTTTCCAGACACATGTGACGTGCAGTGTGAACATGGACAACAAGCTCCCAAGGAGACGGACTGCTGAGCTAAAAGTTCCCATCCACATGTTCAGAAGCCGTTGAACAATCTGAGGTTGGGCATAAACAATCAAAAGCTGGCGCAAGCTTGCCACGTCCTCAACGTGCTCATGTCATCAAAGCTGAAGCATGCTGAAGTCATAGCCGCCATTGGGCAGTCTATGTAAACAATATCAGGTCGGAAGCATGTCCGTGCTCTTTCAGACGAGCTGACCCTTTGGGAGGCCCTGTCAGATGCTCCGAGAGTCGTTGCTTTGATTGCCGCCGCCAGCCTGTCGCCAGCCCATCGCCTGAGGTCGATGCCATTGAGGAAGGCTTTAAAAAGATGGGTGCGTAAGGGCTGCCAAGAAAGCTTGTTGCCCAATGCTGCCGTGAGGAACGAGTGTGGTCGCACTCCTTTCTTTGAGGTCGGATGGTTCTACAGTGGCTCTGCTGCAAAAGGTGCGGCAGCGGCTGGTGGTCAACACAGTGCGCCCTTTGGTCATGTCAAGATTGCTGACTTTGATTGGCAAGCACCTAAGGCTGAAGTTGATGGCGCGTGGGTGGAGGATGACTTGTTGGAGCGCCTGGCGAAGGAGGTACCAACTTAGGTATATAATTACTGTATTTGCTGCAAGTAAGGTTCCCTCAAAATCTAGGAACCAATGATTAGTGCGAGTGCTTCCTTGAAGAAGCGCAAGCTATCCGAATCCTGTGTCCAGTAAGTAGCTTAAGTAGCCAGTAGCTTACTCCCTTGCTTGAATTAAGTAGGTGCCTACTTAATTAAGCAAGGAAGCAGGGCCACGAGCTAAAAAATTAGGAAACGACAAAACAAAGGCAAAAAAATTAGGTACCAGGTACTGTATTTGCCGCTTTTTTTCACAGGGCTGTTTCGCTCACCAAAGCTTTTCATTGGCGAAGGAGGAACTACGAATGACCAAGCATCGTCCGGAACAAGATGTGGAGCCAAAGAGCATAGCTCCGTTGTTTGCGCCCCAATAGCAGCTTCTGATTGTTTGTAGGTCCATGCTTTCCCTTGGCAGTGACATTTCTTGAGCTTAAAGCTTTCTATTTGAAAGGCAAGAGCCTGCCCCACTGGATTTGTGGGACATGTGGCCAGTATCCCAGATCTATGATTCTGAATTCTCGTAAGCTCAGTTTTTATGAGGTCCAACGCTGACAAAGCAGATGACAAGAGCCAAGGCATGTGAGTGATGTCCGTTTCTGTAAACACACTGGCACTTGCCAGCCAGGTCAGGATAGCTTCGCGGATTCAGACGTCTGCATCCTAGAGCTGACAGATGTTTTCTGAAGGATGATGACCATATCATGTATTTGCAGGATGGAACGGCCACATCCTCTTCTCGCCTCCGAGAATATCTTGCGAGGCAGTTCACATCTGCAGGTTTCCCTCAAAGCTCTGAGGGGCGAGGACGTGAAGATACTGGAAGTCCAAATAGCCACCAGTATACCCAATAGGAATGACCTCCAACCTAGAAGCGATGGCCTCCATAGAAGCATATAGAATCTAGAAGTTAAGCCCAAATAGCCACCAGTATAGCCACCACAGTAACCAAAGCCTACTAACCTCGCATAGCCTTGCTTTCGCAGGCCAGAGAAAGTGGGTCGGAAGCCCATCGTTCTGGACTCCGAGATCCCTGGAGGCCAATCGAGACAGCAAGAGAAAACAGAAGGTAAGGGCCGTCTTTGAATCTCTTTGATATATATCTTGAATAAGGGTCCCCTTGAAAGAACTCCTCATCAAAAAGGCCCTTGTCTCTTACTTGTTTTCTTCTTTCTTGATTGTTGTCGATTCGGACAGTTGTGAAAGCCTTCGAGATGCTTTGAAGAGGCGGAAAAGAACTTTCATTCGGCAACCATGATAGGTGGAGGCCGAAAGCATCGTCGCCGTGCAAGGACATGAGTCGAAGAAAATTGGAGCGGATGCGATGCCGTTGAAATGCCAGTCTTGGCTGTTGATCAAAACCCAAATACGAAATTCACAATAACATCATATCAAAGAGTGAAACATATATACATTATACATATATAAATATAGATCATATGGTTGTATGGACTGAGTTCAAACAATTTGGTACAATGACTTTACATGCTTTTGATTGCCACTAGCGCTACTAGACTTTCATCTGAAGCCGAGAGCGGATCCCCAAAGGCAAGAGCAGCAGTGGACCAGTCTTTATCACAGGTTTTTGGTATCCTTTAGCATATTCAGCTTGAGAAAGGCTGATTCCCGTGGTATCCGGTGGTCTCAACGCCCGGCTTGACCTCTGTTGATCACGACCATTGGAAGCTACGTTCGATTTAGCTTGGCCAAGAGCCTAGACGGCCTACTGGCCTACTGTCTGAGATTGAGCATGGCGCTGCGGCGAGCAGCGTCCGCGACCCAAAGACGGCCTCCAAAACGAGAAATGATTTGACGTGGCAAGTAGACACATGAATGGAGAAATTCTTTCGCTGTAGGAACTTATTCAAAATAGTCATGGTCGGAGTCGGTCCCCCTTGAACCATGGGTTTGGTCGAATCCTCATATAGTGACATGCAGCCATCTTTCTTGTTCCCACTCCACCACACGTGCCTGGCATCGTGCCTTGCACCTGTACTTTTGTTCTGCACATTTGCATGCTTTTTGCTGAATATAGCCTATTCTGACATGCACGGAAGTGCAATTAATAAATGGTGGGCTTCTGTCAGCCACAATGGACCCGTAAAGTAGAGTTCATGAAGCAATGAGATACAACAAGTGATTCTATCAAAAGAACTGTCTACCGATCAGAGCTGCAGAGTCAGCTGCAAGAGCTCGGAGTCAGGGTCGACTTCGATTTAGTCCCATTCTTGACCATTCGAAAGACCAAGGCAAGACGATGACATAGAAAGTCAAAGCACAGAAAAGGACGAGTCCTTTGCAGCCTTGGTCTGAGGTAAGTGGATGTGGCAAGATAGTCACATACGATCATACATAATGTAGTTTTATCTTGTTTTCTATGGTTACTTAGATGTGAACAAAAATTGCTTTTGGGGTCAAATCCTTCCTGATGCACAGCGACTAGAGTGAAACCAGGATGAGTCATTGAAATTCGGAGAACGCTCGCTTTTGCTTGTTGAGGTTGGCCAGGTCACCATCCGGCTTCCGTGGCTCCGCCATGTTTTGGGGAGCCATTTTGCCATGTTGGTAATGACCCAGTGTGAAAGCTACACAGCTACTAGGGTGGAGGCCATCGCTAGTGGGTTGGAGGCCATTCTTATTAGGTTCCGTTTGCTAGTAGGGTGGAGGCCATTGCTAGTAGGAGCAAGGACGCTGCTAGGGGCTCCTGGCCTTACTACTAGGAACAGGAAGCCACTAGGAACAAAGGGCATCGCTACTAGAAACGGGAAGCTACTAGGGGCTCCTGGCTGTACTACTAGGAGCAAGTAGCTACTAGTAGCTCCTGGTACTACTACTACTACTACTACTACTACTACTACTACTACTAGCAACCAGAAGCTACTGCTTGTAGGGGCTCCTGGCATCGCTACTAGGAGCGATCGACGCTGCAGTACACTGCGTTTGGCTCTTTCTCCGGCTCTTGGAGGCTGGATCTCAACCCGCTCTCCTTAATGGCACTGGTGCTGAGGCCGTCTACGCCCATTTTGAGATACATATATACAAATTGCAAAGCAATGTGCATGAGAGAGAAGCTCTTTCAACCTTGCAACTTCTGAACGCCTCGACTCTTGCTGCCAGCTTTCTTCCGTGGGCCGTGCCAATCCTGCTCCTCGCAGATGGCATCCTGTCCAGGCCTTTTGAAAGTTATGTCCAGTGTCTTTGTCCTTGGTCTCATGTCTTTTCCTTATATGCCGGCTTTGCGTAGGCGGATTTCGAGCGGATTTGCTCTGGGTGCAGTCACGAGCTCACAGCCTGCAAGACACATGTTCACCTTAGAAACACATGAAAGGCATGAGATCAGCCACAAACATTGTGTGGTTCTGCGGAGCCTCCTCGACTCAGCAATTCATAGTTGCTCAGATAATTCTGACCAGCCTGGTGAGCGAGGCTGGTGCTGCTGTTTGTGTCAATCCAATCTTCATGGGCATTCATGTCCCGATGATACTGATCACGCGGGTCTTATTGCATCATCCTTGATCTTCTGAAGCCGCTGATGGCGCCAGTTGATTCTGAAGCCGCTGATTGCGGAGCCGCGCCCACCCACCTCGGCTTGCAGGAGCCAAGAAATGCTGCAAACTCGTGACCGAAAAGTAGTCGTTTGAAGAAACCGACAGAAATCAACAAGACTTCGGATTTTCAACAAAGCATTATACAGCATTCTTGCTCGCAGTAAGTTCATAGTCCATAGTAGCAAGCGCTGCTAGTGTAAGCATTGCACCTTTCAGTTGGCTTCACGTGGTATGGAGTCTATGGGTCTGCAGGACGGAAGACGGCAAGTTACTTCCCGGCATGCCGTCTGGTCACGTGATGCAGATGACTTAGATGACTTGGTTTCGACGATTCTCGTTTCGAAGATGCTACTTGTAGCCTGCGTACTCCAAGGATTTGTCAGAGCATGCTTACATTCTATGCCCTCGAGGCCAAACTTATCAGCATGAGGAAGCTACATAGAATGGTCACAGTAGAATGGTCACAGCAAGCTGACACTGGCTTCATCGTAGGCTATGCGGCACCATTTGCTAGTGGCCCTTCCCACAGCAGAGAGTTCAAAGTTTTCATGTTATGTTGCACAACTAGTACAACTAGTAAGACTGCTGATGTGAGATGAGAAAGTAAGGCAGCCTTGATTCTGATTCTGTGCATGCCACTAATGCCCTGGGCACGTGCTCATCTCAGTGGAATGGAGTCATGGGCCAATTGACGATTCCATCAGCCACGGGCGCTTGGAGTGAGCCTGGCTTGCGCACTGTTAGCCAGGTTGGTACAATGGTGATCACACTTTAAAGCAGGCGCGGTCTCGCCGCGTCCGCCTCATGAGATGAGGGCGTTGTTTTCGGCGCTGGAGTCCTTTGAAGCGTTGTAGTAGGAGCCAAGCGTCAGCAGATGATTTGGTTAGATGAGTTGATACTAGATGAGTCATCTCGATGAAGTAGAAATTGTTCGCTTCAGGGTTTATTTGAGCTAGGCTCATTAGTGAAAGTGAGAAACGATCAGTGAGCGGTCATGGGATTCAACATGCAGGTTTCGCTCAAAAGCGACAACACACTCACCAAAAAACAACAACATACATGGCAAACGATAATACACTCACCAAACCCTGATGACCTGCAACTCCACAACAAATTTTGACCATCACTTATTTAGTTCTTGGCCTTGACGTGTTCAGCTTCACATTTTGCCACTTGATCATAGACTTGTGAGGTGGCTGTCACCTTCGTAGTTGCTGCAGTGGTCGGTCATCTCCCAAGTGGTTGGCCGCGGTTGCGTCCGAGGGGAGGGGGTCCCATGAAGCGAGCTGGGGGGGGTCGCTCTGTATTATTTTCCGCGTGGATTGCCCTGTTTTAGTTTTGTTTAGTTCTTTTTTGTTCTTAATTTCTATCATACCAAGCTTTTGAGGTTTACTGGACTTCTTAATCTTCCTCGCTCTCTTCGATGACGGCGGCGCTGTGCCCAGCATCAGCAACCCCACAACCTGGTGTTCCTGAAAGTGTACGCGACAGCTTCTGAGGTCACGACCCACAGAAGGCACAAAAGGGCTTTGCAGAGGGCATGATGGGATACACATGGATACACTCTCACTCACTAGAAGTGGAAAATGGTCCCTTTGAAGACTATACTTTGCTCTAGAAACTCGGCGTTCCACTTTCAGTGAGTCAGACTCTGACTGTATATAACATGCAGGATGAACAGCATGACTGGCTGTTTTGGCAGGTTCTCTTCACAGAAGTTGCCTCCATTCCAACTCCAGGCCTTGTCAGAGCACACCTCGTCCTCCCCATTTTCCCCTTTCCCGCTCCCTTCTCTCGCGCCCAAGGTGTGATTCTTGGGGCGCATCAAGGGTAAGGTCCTTGATCGGCTTGTTTCACTAGAGCTATGGCCTCTTCGGAGGGCAAAGGGGTGGCAACCATGAGAATCTGCTTGCTTCATGTTGCGTCCATTCTTGCCAAGCGCTTTGACATTCCTTTCACGTGTTTGGGTGAAGCTGCTAAGCTCATGCTTTCATGGAGCATTTCGGCTCAGGCTCAAGGATCTTCAGTCGAGACTCAAACTAGACAACCGTGAGCAATGGCAGCGTTCTTTCTCATTGCGGCAGTTCCTTTCTTGGTGGCAGCAGATTCAAGGCGTGCAAAGCGAGTGGATTTGCAAACAACATGAATCCGCTTTGTACTATATATTACTATATATATATATACTACATAAAATATGTTTGATATATATCTATATATATATATATTATATTGAACATAAAACAATGTGCAAAAGCTTTGTCCCCGGCCTCAGTCCAATGTGCTAGGCCAGACACTCTCTCTAGCATTGCAGAGACGGCTACCGCTCGATACTTGCTTGATTTCAGACAAAAGAACTGCACGGGGAACAAATTGGATCTCAACACACTGCAGAGCAAGGCTAAACAACACTTTTTCAAGACCAAGAAGATGTTGGCATTGGTGCTAAGTTCGGCATAATCTTGGCCTGCACCACTAGGTTCAGAATCTAGTTACAACTCGTCTGCAACATGACCATAAAAGTTTCGAAGCTAACTCACAATACAGACATCCATTTGAACCGTTTAGGCAGCACTGAGGTACTGAGGCACACACAGCAGCATGCTGCAAGCCAATAGGTATTAATTCAATCCTCGTGGGACCTTGCAAACCGAACGCGAGTTGAAGCAGGAAAGGCTTTAAGTTGGTAGCACAATGGCTGCAATGCATGGCAACTATCGAGCTGCTATTCATGTATAATTCACCGGGGTCTTGACGTTTTGTGACTTGGAACAAACTCTTGCTTCTTCAATCATTTTCTTTGTCTGCTGAGGTAATTTGGGCTACAAGCCGACTGAATGTACCGGAGAGGGCAGCATGCCCACGGTGACAGACACTCCTCTTTGCAGCTCGGCAGAAGTCGGCAGGGCAGCAGTCAGAGGAACTGCCTTAGCAGGGATAGGGAACACCATTGCATTAATGCTGGTTTGAGGTGGTGAGTTGGATTGGCTCAGGCTGGGGAGGCGACCTTTTGGTTCAGACTTTCAACATCAAGGTCAACAGCTACGATGGCACCAGTGGAACCGTGCCTTGACAAAAGTGATGTCTTTTTGTTGGATCTTCACGAAGTTAGGTCCTGTCACTGGAGCCACTTTGCGGAGCGGAGACGCCTTTGTCATCATACATTCTGAGGTGGACATGGAGATGCGCGGCCCAACAAGCGGTCAATGCACTGAGACCCCTTTTGAGAACAACAACAATGAAATCTCCCTTGGCGAGCAGCATGAGTGCCTCAGCTGCCTCAGCTGATGAAGAAGGTCAACCACCACACAATGAGGTCCGGCCAAAATGATGGAAGACTATATTACACAAGTAAAGAGGTGGACATGCTACTAGTAACAAGGTGCATGGCTAAAGGCGTTACTACTAGCAAGAAGCTTCTAGTAACAAGCTGCATCGCTTCTAGGGCACCCAACCAAAGGGCACAATATTTGCTTACCCCAAACCCACCTTTGAGTGCTTTGGTGAGTACTGGAGTCGCGGAAGATATATATATATACTGTTTTTAGAATTGGCAGCGCTTTTCTTTGAACATGCAATCCCCTCCAAACCCTACATTAGTAATGCTGGCAATCAATGTGCGTACTCGAGATTAAGATCTACCTTCTTCATTCTCAAGTTGTTTTCTTTCTCGATCCTCCTCTTTGCCATAGAGTTTTGACACACAGCACACTTTCTCAATCTCTTTGGTTTTCATGCTTTAGGCCTGCCTCCATATCTAAAGACATCCGTGATCAATCTCTCAGTGTATGACATGGAAAGGCAAAACCGTTGGGGGCACAAAATAACAAAAAGAAAAGGAACAGAAGCAGGACAAAGATAGCAGACATTATATAAAAGTCAAAGGGAAAACACAAGATAACGAACAAGCCAGCAGGGCTGCAGGGAGGAAGCATTCTGAAGGCAAATTGATGATCTGAGAGAAACACACTGATTATTATTGTCTCATGTTTATATAGACTCGCCAATGTTTTGTTTTTTGTTTTTATTATCCATTTTGGTGTCTGGATGTTGGCGCAATTAAACGTATTATTGCAATATCCTGGCAGGCCAAAAAAAGGATTATTATTGACGCATGGATTATTGCTGTGTATTCAACATTACTGTAATTGTTGCCCTATGTATCTCTTATTCACACGGCTCACTCTCACAGAGATTCTGCGCACACTGTGGAGTCATCTGAAGTAAACATTGACAGCAACCAGTCATTGCCCTCCCCCCTCCGAATAGTCTTCACAAGTCAGCTGAAAACTTCGCAAGATACCGCAAGTACTGTGCAAGTCAACATTGAGTTTGGTAGTAGTTCTTTTTGTGCGATGTATGTACATGCAAGATGCAAGCCCTAAAAACTGGAGTATAGTATAGTGTACAATAACGACCAGTCTTTCTATTTTTGGTTTGTGCTATCTACGCGGGAAGCACCTGGCAAACGCGTGGTTTCGATCTAAGCTAGGATCATGCTCATGCATTGTTGTTGGTTTGGGCAAGCCTTGGCTTTCCGAGGTGTGGCTTGGGAGACTCCGAATACACTGTGAAGTACTGCTCCGACCTTACCTACCTCCTGCCTTCACTTTTGCATACGCGCATTGTCTTATATTCTCTTGCACCCAGGCCCAGATCAAGATCAGTTTGTCATCGACATTGTGAAGCAACTCGCTTTAGCTGGTTGCATTGGGAGCTTTGCACTGATGTTTTACTTCTTTTCAATCCTTTTGCAATCACTGAGGCCTTGGACGATCGAAGTCACACTCAAGAGTCAGGAGTGTGGAGCTGCTGATGAGAGGAAGAAGGAAATTCTGCCGTGAGAAGATGAAACGATAGCTCAAATCAATGAGCTCAAAAGATGAACTTAAGACAAATTAGTTGGTACAGCTTGCTTCGGCAAGCCTTTGCTGGTGCTGGCAATGTCCAGTGTGCATGTAGACCTGAGCCTAACACGGCAGTACACGAAGACTTTTGGAACCTCTGTGACTGATCTAGATGCAGCACAAAGTGTGCGCTGTGATACACACTGTCCACCTCTTACTTCTACCATCTTCTACCGAGATCCTTTGAGGTCAAGTTGCCAGGGTTTCATGGATCACAATTTCATGGGTTCCATTGCGGACATGGCAGTGATTATTTCCCGCTTCTTCGAAGAGTTGGAAGTCTGGTTTCTGTTGGAACCCGGTTTCCCGCGCGTTTTTGCCCAAACAGTTTTCTGTTGGGGTTGTCTCTTGGGGAAAAAAAGGCCGGCCACAGTCTCTGACCGCGACCCTGAACCCTGTGTTTGGGTGTTGTCCTCCTGTTGTCCTCTTCTTGTCCTTCAGTTGTCCAATTGTTGTCCTCCTGCTCCTGCTGTCCTCGTACCGCACTCGCGCACCCTGTGTCCTCCTCGGTGTCCTTCTGCTGTCTTCCTGCCACGTGTGAACCATGTGTCCTTCTCTTGTCCATATGGTGTCCTCTAGCCACGCTTGCGAGCTTCTCTTGTCCTCCCGGTGTCCTTGTGCTTTCCTCTCGCCGTGCTCTGTGTCCTTGTGCTGTCCGTTGGCCGGTGTCCTCCTGCTGTCCTCTGGCCATGCTTGTGAACCTGTGTCCTGCTGTCCCCTGGCTGCTCTGGCGTGCCCTGTGTCTCCCTCTTGTCCTGCTGCTGTTGTCGTGCCACGCTTGCGTCCTTCTCTTGTCATCCTACACTTCCAGTGTAGCTCCCGCAGAATAGCACCTGACGCGCAAGATGCCTCCCATGCGTAGGGATGGGAGTGCGCGGTCCGCTTTGTTCCCCAAACAGTTTACGCCTGAGATTCTCTTGGGAAAAAAACGCGCTGATAGCTGTGGCCGCACTGTGGGCCTTCTCCCCGCTTGTCCGGGTCTGTCCTTGTCCGCATTGTTGGGACTTTGATCTCCGCCTTGTCCGAGCTTGGCCACGCTTTCCCTTTCTCCACCGCCTTGTGCGGGATTATCCAGGTGTGTTTTCGTGTGGATTTACATGCAACAGTGATACAGCGTTTTGGAACTTGATATCATCCTCGGATTTCTCCTGACATATACCTCCTATCATGCAGAAACTGCTTGGGGTCTATGCTGGCATAATCTCTTAGGGAAAAAAGGGCTGGCCACGATAACCGTGGCCGCGCTGTCCGCTCTTTCTTGACCGCCTTGTCTGGGCCTTGTCCGGGTCTGTGTGTCCATGCTTGGCCACGCCGAGTGTCCAACATCATTGGAATTGAACGGATTTATGCAAAACATATCGTCTCAAATTTGGCGTCCGTCTATACTAATACAATCTAATATATTTTTTGGAGGATTTCTGAACCTGGATTGCTCCAGTCTGATTGTATGGAGAGTGAGCGTATGTAGAGCATAATTGTGCGCCCCAAAACATGCAGGTCTATTCCAGTCCAGGCCCCAACCTGGGACATGTCGACTGAACATTCTGGAAGATGGGTCGGTCTGAATTAATCAGCCTGACCTTTCCAATGTAGCTAGACGTTTTGAGTATTCCTTTCAGGGCTTGAAAGCTCCTATTTGCATGCAGCACTTGAGCCAATAGTTTGTAGTGGCTTGTATTTGGTCGTTGAGCATTTCGGCTCAGGCTCAAGGATAGTTCAGTCGTGATTCAAACAAGACAACCGTGAGCAATGGCAGCGTTCTTTCTCATTGCGGCAGTTCCTTTCTTGGTGGCAGCAGATTCAAGGCGTGCAAAGCGAGAGGATTTGCAAGAAACAACGCGAATCTGCGTTTTACTACACATATTTCATCATAGTTGCACATCTCTCTCTCTCTCTATATATATATAATATAATGAACAATAGATTGTCCCCACAGTCCAACATGCCAGGCCAGAAACTCTCTCCAGATACTTGCCTGATTTTAGACCTCCAAAAGCTTGATGTGCGAGCCAAACAAATTGGATATCAACATGCTGGAGGATCATGTCCAAAACCGAGTTTGTTATTTTTTTGGAGACTCCTTACATCAGATGTGAATGCTGGAGTGAGGTCATAAACCGGGACCATGAGGCGCTTCCTTTCATAGCTGACTGAGGCTTTTTACGTGGCCATCAGCAGACTGAATGCACTGGAGATGGCAGCATGCCTTCGGTGTCAGGCACTCCCCTTTGTGGCTCGACAGCCTGCAGAAGATACTGAGGAAGAAATGCTTGACCACCTGGGATACAAAAACCACAGCCATTTTGACGTATTTACGGTGTTTTTGTGGCGCGAGGCGGTGCAGTTTTCTTTCGTTAACTGCACCGACAGGTACCACTTTCACAACTGTTGGCTTCGGCATTTGGGACCAATGAGCCAGGGTACTAACAGTCTCACAAACTTGCACCAATCTGCGTTGGCTCAGGCTGGGGAGGCGACCTTTTGGTTCAGACTTTCAACATCAAGGTCAACAGCTACGATGGCACCAGTGGAACCGTGCCTTGACAAAAGTGATGTCTTTTTGTTGGATCTTCACGAAGTTAGGTCCTGTCACTGGAGCCACTTTGCGGAGCGGAGACGCCTTTGTCATCATACATTCTGAGGTCGACATGGAGATGCGTGGCCCAACAAGCGGCCAATGCACTGAGACCCCTTTTGAGAACAACAACAATGAAATCTCCCTTGGCGAGCAGCATGAGTGCCTCAGCTCCCTCAGCCGATGAAGAAGGTCAACCACCACATATAAAAACAATTGCTGGATTTGCCATAATTGTCAAGGTTTGTGCATCTCCATCCGATACAGAGACAACCCTACTATAGTACTGTTTGCATGGATGAGTTTTTGTGAGATAAAGATCAGGAACACTGAAACTCGATAGCGGCCAACCTATTCAATTTGAGAGCGGGCCTTTAGTATCAGCATAATACGTAGATATGCCTATAGGCTATAAACAGAATGCTACACAATATATTGATATGGAGTACACACACATACATACGAGAAAACGTCGAGTCCGCGACCATCGCGTCGAATCCGCGACCGACCAGGGATCAGCGACCAAATTTCACGGATCAGCGACCAGTTTTCGCGAATCAGCGACCAGTTGAATGCCAAGTGGTATTTCATTTGTTAGCCAGGGTTAACCAAGTATTGCGCCTGCCACGAAAGCTGCGCATTCATGTCGACACAGTACTGTGCCCTTCACGAAATCTGCACTTCAAGGTCAACAAAGTGCTCAGCATGTCACGAGGTAATGCGCCTCCCACACACTCTGCACTTCAAGGTTCACACATCATCGCGTTTCCTGCCACGAAGTCTGCACTTCAAGATCGACAAAGTCATGCGCCTGCCGCAGGACAAGCCTCTGATTAACTTCTTTTTCCCCTTGGCTCTGACAGAACTGCCGTCTGCAGAGGCTGGCACAGGTGGAAGGTTGAGGTAAACAATAAAGCTTACATGTTGAACATGGCGGCTAAGACTTGCAAGTTGCAACGTCAATATGATGATACTAGAGGGCGCACGCAGGGTCACCTAGCAAAGTGTCCTTGTCAACAAGATGATCGCGCGTAGGGAAGGCGGCCCAGCGAGAGGTTTCAAAGCTTACGAGGGGGAATGTCCTTTTCACTCCCGTTGAAGAATTCAACTACCTTTGTCACACCTTTTTCCAACGCGCCAACAACAACACACCCAAGGGGGGAGAAGACCGAGTCAGGAAATCTCCGTACTTTGGTCCTTTGGTGATGAGAAAAGCTGCGTTTTTATCAATGATGTAAAAAGGAAGAAGAAGGGGCAGAAAGAAAGCGCTTGTGGCAAGGCCAAAGAAATCTGATATTTTTGTTGACTTATGTAAAGGCTTGAAGGTCAGACGTCTTGGACGGGTTCAAGAGGTTGGGAGGATGTTTCTACCTCTTTTTCCATATATAAATGAGATGACTTGAGCCTCTCTTTAGGTTTTTGGGCTTGGTTTAGGGCCAGGCGGCCACCCTCTTGGTCTGCGCCGCCAATGGAAACGGCATCGGCGTCGGCCCGCCCGGTCACCAAACTCCCCATTCACCTCCCATGTCCAGTGCTGTAGTCAGCCCCCCGAGCGCAATGACACGGTTGAGACGGAGGAGATCGCCCCTCGCACTTCACTGCGCGAGAATATGGGGGAGGTGAGCGCTTCAGTAGACAGCCCGGCTCATCAATCTGATGCGATCCGCCCACACCCATTGTGGAGGACATACCGCAGCCTCGACCTGAACCTCGACCTCCATCGCCGAGGCCGAAGCATCAGCGCCGCCGTCTCCTGCGCCAGCAAGTACACAGTTTTCGGAAAGCGGCCAACGAACGGTGGCGATGTCAAGCGGTTTTCAAAACAGGGGGCCACTTAAGCTGACTGACATGGACTGGCACACTTACCAGGAGATTGCGTGAGTGCCCCCAATCTGAGTGGCGCGTACAACCTCGTGCAAGGCCTTTCTTTTTACGACGGCGACATTCATAGGTCAACTTACCTTCCATAGGCGCCGCCGCAGAGGGCAATCGCTCAGAAGGTTGGACTCCCACGAGCCCTGTTGGCCCTGTTGTGTAAAAAACATGTGTTCGCAGGCTCTTCCATTTGCATAGTTTTGAGATCGCCTAAGTAGGTAGAGCCTGAAGGCCATGGAAACAATTATTTTTACATCAAGTGGCTGCCAAAAAATGCGATTGAAAATGCGTTGATTGAAAAAATGTGATTGCTAGAGTAAGAAAATGCGATCGAAAATGCGATGTTCTGAAAAATGCGATTGCTAGATGTTAAAAACGCGATTGAAAATGCAATGTTGAAAAAAATGCGATTGCTAATGTCAAAAAATGTGATCCAAAAATGCAATGCAATTAAAATGCGATTGCTTGCTGCAAAAATTACGACTGAAATGCACCGCCAACAAAAGGCGCCTGGGCTCTTTACAAGTGTGCAGCTCAAACGCATTTCTTTTGGCGATTGCGCAGTCCAAACGCATTTTTTTTGCGATTGTACAGCCCAAATGCATTTTTTTTGCGATTGCGCAGCCCAAACGCATTTTTTTTGCGATTTGGCAGCCCAAACGCATTTTTTTGGAAGAAAAATGCGATTGACAATCCCAATCGCACTTTTTCGCAAAAAAAATGCGCCGCGCCCGGACAAACGCATTTTTTCGTAAAAAAAATGCGCCGTGCGCAGACAAGTGCATTTTTCAATCGCATTTTTGCAACCTCCGCAGCAAGACCTTATCGCAACGCATTTTCAAAACGCATTTTAAATGCGATTTGAGGCGACAAACGCATTTTAAATGCGATTTGTCAATCAAATCGTATTTTTTTGCGCCATGGAAGAGTGGTAAATTTGCGTACGCGTGCAAACGCATTTTTCACGCCAGCCATATGTCCAAGGTCGCGGGAAACGCATTTTTCCGGGGCAGAGTTGGGGACGAGCCCGGAAGCGAGCTGAGAACGATGTTTGCTTTTGTCCTGTCCTTCGGTCCTTGTCGTCCAGCTAGCAAGCTGGCAGTCTGGGTTGGTTGGAGTGTTTACGTCTATTTTTGGTTTGCAGGACAGCACTGGGGACATAGGTTGTCCGAAGCAGCCAGACAAACAAATGTGACCCAAAATCCAATGCAAAAACATCATTGCTCGCTGCAGTCAAAGTACGCGTCAAAATTCAATACCAAAAACGAGCGTTGAGGCTGCTGCCCCACCTGATGTCTATAGAGAACACTTGAAAAGCCTTGGCCTTTGATTGCGCTTAGTGGCGTGCCCACACGGCGAACAATTAGGAAGTTGTGATACTTGCAAGCTTTCTATTTTTTCAAAGTGTTCCAGGGCTGCGTTTTGACGTGGGGACTGGCTCCCAAGGTGCATTTTGGATCCTATTTTTTGAGCCATGGGAAGTGAACAAATAATTCCCAACAGAGCTACAGAGCCTACCTAGGTTAGGCAATCTCAAGCATAGTTGCAACGGTTGTTGTGGCATTTACCGTAATTGACCGAAGGCGCCAACTCCGGCAGAAACCAGAATCACAGACGCACGCTGCTTTTGTTTTGTATTGCAGACTGAAAGGATGCTGCTGAATGGGATCATCGGTTTTGCTTTGTGTTTCTCTGAGGCTCCGAAATGAGTAAATTTACATTTTCGATGGACTTACATACATTGAAAATTCGGGTCATTTTAAATTGCATTTTTACCTAAAATCAATCGAGTTCTCAAAAGTGCGCAACAACAGCGCAAGAAATGCACAGAAAGCGCGTGTAGATTACAACGACACGCAGAAGGACAGTTGACAACTGCTCCAGTAAAAGCAAAAACGTTGTAAACATCCAAGAGTTGCAAGAAGCTTTCAAGACATGTTTTGACATGCAACAACGCGCGGAAGGGCATTGGAAAGGTGCTCAAGCAAAATACAAAGAACCCACAGAAAACTAACCCCCCAGAGCTGCAGCAACCCCCCAAGAAATCCAACAAAGAGATTTGTCATTGTACATTGGAAGGTGCTTGTGTAGTTTCTAAACCGTAGGTGAGAAAGGCGCCTGAACTCGAGAACGGCCACCTTCCCAACTATCCACACTTCTGGACCTCAGGGGGCCTCCATCGAACCACCACACTACATGAGAATAGACAAACTTGGACAACTTCAAGCGATGGATGGTGAAGTGCGCCTTTGAGGTCATGGTGACCAGGGCTGCCCCCCAAGGTAAGCTTAGCGCATGGTACGCGTGATCTAGGGCGCTTTAAACCTGTGACAATGTCGAAGAAGCTTTGTTTGACAATGAATGGTTTTTCAAGTAAGCCGTTGGTTTACACGGAGCTTTGATGTGAGAGCATACTGATTTGGGTGCGCGGTCATTAAATGACTTGAGCATTCATGGGTTTATTTAAGCCATGGCTTAGTGTACTTGCGTCCTTGAAGTTGCAATTACTTGGGCCAAAAAGCATTTACTTGAGCACTGAAGAAACATTGATGTGGCAGCGTATTCGATTGCTTTGCCGGGGACATCCAAGCAGTACTTACTCGAGCCTTTGGTGGATGTCGAGAAAGGAGAAGCAACCTAGTAAACTTTCAAGATTTTGATTTCTCATGAACTCGTTATGAACTCTTCTTTATGCATTTCTTATGCGTTCCTTATGCGCTTTTAAACAGTGCATAAGTAACGCGTACATTTTGTTGCACTGCCAGACAGCGAATGCAACTCATCACGGGTTTCACTTCTTTAGGGTTTGGGCCCACACCTAACAACTGACCTTTGAAGGTTGTTTGAGGCTTCAAACAGGTTTGAGAAGGGCACTTTTCTGGCGCACTTGTTCTTCGAACAGGTGTGAAAAGAGCTAGGACAAAGTGTGTGCGCCCTCTAGCATCATCATATTGGCGCTTCGAACAGGGGTCAACGAAAGGACGCGGACGCTCTCGTTTTCTGGTCACCTAGTGTTGCAGCTTTGAAGGGTGTTTCATTGTTTGAGGCTTCAAACAGGTGTGATAGAGGCTTTTTACTGCGGCGCCCACAACTGCCCTTGTGAGGTTTTATTGAAGCTACGAACAGGTGTGAAAAGAGCAGTTTTTTAGGAGAACCTGCGCGTCATCATATTGAACCGGGTGAACAGAAGGGCGCGGACGCTCTCCTTTTTCCGGGTCACCCAACAACTGCCTTCTTGAAGGGTGTTTGTGGCTTCAAACGACGTGAGAAGGGCACTTTACTGGGGCGCCAAAGAACTGCCCTTAGGAGTTTTTACAGCCTCGAACATGTGTGACCTTACAGACACTTTGCTAGACGTGACCCTGTGTGCGCCCTCTAGTATCATGATATTGATGCCTGAGTTCTTGCAACTTGCTAAATCTTAGCCGCCGTGTTAAAGCATGTAAGCGTTAAACCGTTAATTGCTGTTGGCTTCAACCTTCCACCTGTGTCAGCCTCTGCTTCAGAGCCAAGCGAAATGAAGTGAATCATACCTGTAACTAAATCCCTTCCAGAATCAAACACCCTAGGGTGTCAAACCCACGACTGATTTGTAAAGGTGTTATTTTTTGCGAAATCAGATTCTGGGGGTTTTGATTTTGTAAAGATCTTGCATTTGGATGAACTCAGAGTGGGTGCCATGACTTTGTGGACGCGAATCATGAATTTTTGGATGGTGTGATTTTAACCTTTTTTCCTGGGCTGGATGCTTTGATTCTGTGCAGACAGAGGAAGGGTGTCTCGATTTTGTAAATGATGCTGGATACTCAAACATCTCAATGACATTCACTGAACTGGACTGACATGAGAGACCATGAGAATATATCAGACACGTTTCAGACCCAGGATATTCATGCAGCTTGAAGGGATTTTCCCCAGATAGCGCAGCTATGGGGTTCTTACTTCAAATAATAGTGAGCTGCCCGTGCGCGCTTTCGAGACAGGTTGCTGGTGCTGGTGCTGGTGCTGTGAGCTGGCTGTGCACGTGGTGGAGACAGGTTGCTGGTGCTGGTGCCGGGCGCCGGTGCTGCTGCTGGGTGCCAGGTGCCGGTGCGGTGCTGTGAGCTGGCTGCGCACGTGGTGGAGAGAGGTTGCTGGTGCTGTTGCCGGGTGCCGGTGCTGGAGACAGGTTGCTGGTGCTGGTGGTGGTGCTGGGCGCTGGGCGCCGGCGCCGGTGCTGGTGCGCGCGTGGAGACAGGTTGCTGGCGCTGGTGCTGGTGCCGGGTGCCGGTGCTGGTGCTGGTGCTGGGTGCCGGTGCTGGTGCTGGTGGTGTAGCTTGCATATATGTGGCGATCTTTTTGGCCCAGATAGCGAAGGTATGGGGCTCTTACTTCAAATCACAATGAGCTGCCTGGGCGCGCTTTCGAGACAGGTTGCCGGTGCTGGTGGGTGGTGGAAACAGGGTGCCGGTGCTGGGCGCCGGTGCCGGGCGCTGGTGCGGGCTGTGGTGCTGGTGCTGGGTGCTGTGAGCTGGCTGCGCGCGTGGTGGAGACACGGTGCCGGTGCTGGGCGCTGGCAGTGCGCATGGTAGAGACAGGGGGCACCGGTGCCGGTGCTGGCAGTGTGCGTGGTGGTGATTGGGCGCCGGTGCTGGGTGGTGGCTGTGCGCGTGGTGGAGACAGGGTGCCGGGTGCTGGTGCTTGGTGCTATACCGGTGGGTGCTGGTTCTGGGCGCCGTAAGCTGGCGCGCCGGTGCTCGGTGCTGGTGCCCGCTTCTGACAGTGAAGTGATAACAACCGCCGCTTCTGTCAGTGAAGGGTAACAAACCGCCGCTTGCAGCAGTGAAGGGCGACCAAGCGCCGCTTCTGACTGAAGTGCAAGTAGTCATGGGCCGCGTGAACTTATGCACGCAACATCATACGGTGTTGTCGCTTGAGCGTTCTTTGTCTATTAGCGCTGTGGGGTATTTACATCCTTCAGGTTCTGTTTTGGCCGACAGCTGTGTCAAGGGCTGTACTGTTTGCGCGCATACTTTTGTACGTATAATATTCTATGCGTCAGGCTCTCAACCGACCATTGTACCAGCATGTTTCAGCATGCTGCACACACAATGGTCGTGCTGGATACTGCTTGGCCTTGGGTGAGTGAAGCCTACGGGCTTTGCCGATTGTGCGCATACTTTTGTGCGCATCAACTTATACGCGCAAGATCATACAGCCTTATCGTTCTGCAGGTCGTTGCTTCAAGCATGCTACAAAGTCAATAGTGGCGCTGGATGCTGCCTGTCCTTGGGCCAATGACACTTGCGGGCTTCGCTGTTTGCGCGCGTGCTTTTGTGCGCATAAACATATACGCGCAAGATCATACGTTGTTATTCCCCAAGTAGGGATAGCTATGGGGTTCTTGCTGCAAATAAGAATGAGCTGGCTGCGCGCGCTTTCAAAAGGGTGTCGGTGCTGGTGCTGGTGTTGTGGTCCTGGGTGCTGGTGCTGTGTGCTGGCTGAGCGCGCGTTTAAGACGGGCGGCGGCGCTGGTCGGGTGCTGGTGTCAGCTGATTGTGCGAGGTGTCGTAAGCTGGCTGCGCAGGCTTCGTACATTCTTGTTCCAGCCAGTCGCATGTCAACAGGTCGTGGGATTCTGCCTAGCTATCTGGGTCTATGCTGGTGTAATTTTTTGTATTCTGGACCCTGGTGGTCTTGATGTAGTGTTTTGAAGGGTGGGGTGCAAGAACTTGTAAAGCTAACATGCATGTACACTTGTGCCCAGGGGTCCTGGATTTTGTAATGAACTACTCTGTTCTCGATATGGCTGAGTGACTGATTATGTAAAGATTTAAGAACAGTTTTCTCTACCACAGGCTGGGGGCCTTGAATTTGTCATTCCAGGATCAGGCCCCCCCAGCGGTAAGCCCGTTCATCTATAGTATAGTGAGTCAGAGGTTTGGCGACGCGCAATCATGTTACCACTTGGTTCGTCCCGGCTGGTCTCCGATCTGCTGCAGGGTTAAGTTAGAATTTGGGGTTCCGCGCTCGCGCCAACAAACTCCCATCCAGTCCGTCTCCGATCTGGATTGGAATTTTGTGTTCGGTTTCCGCGCGGGTGTCGCACGGGTGTCTCACATACAGGTCTCCGATCTGGATTGGAATTTTGGTCGCGCCGATAGTCTCCGACCCAGTCGGCCTCCGATCTGGAATGAAGTTTCAGCGCGGACCGTCTCCGATACGGCCGGTCTCCGGCGGAATATTGGTCGTGGCGATAGTCTCCGATCCAGTCAATCTCGGACCTGGAATGGAATTTTGTATGCGGCTTCCGGACGACCGTCTCGGATACAGCCAGTCTCCGAGTCTCCGATCTGGATTGGAATTTTGGTTGTGCCGATATACCGCTTCTGTGTCATGGTCTCCAATCCCGATCCCGTGTTTCTGGTCTGTGACTCCTGGTCTCCGATTCTACCTTCTCAGTGTCCGACTCTCATCTCCGATTCGACCGCCGCCCCATGTAGATTCTATATAATATAGTCGTCTTCTTTTGTTCTGTTTGCATGGGTAGCACCAAACAACAAGGTTCCAGTCCAAACATGCCCATCTACGTTTACTTGTGGACTAACCTTAGCTTTCCAAGGTGTAGCTTGGGAGACTCCGAATACACTGTGAAATACTGCTCCGACCTTACATGCCTCGTGCTTTCACTTTTGCGTACGCCCATTATTCTTTTATGTTCTCTTGCACCGAGGCCCAGATCAAGACAAATTTGTCATCAACATTGTGAAGCAACTCGCTTTAGCTGGTTTCATCGGGAGTTATGCACAGATGTTTTACTTCAAAACCTTTTGCGATTACCGAGGCCTTGGACGGTCGAAGTCACACTCAAAAGGCAGGAATGTGGAGCTGCTGATGAGAGGAAGAAGGAAATCCTGCCGTGAGAAGATGAAAAGATAGCTGAAATCAGTGAGCTCAAGAGATGAACTTAAGACAACTTAGTTGGTACAGCTTGCTTCGGCAAGCCTTTGCTGGTGCTGGCAATGTCCAGTGTGCACGCAGACCTGAGCCTAACACGGCAGTACACGAAGACTTTGGAACCTCTGTGACTGATCTAGATGCAGCACAAAGTGTGCGTCGTGCTTGCGTCAGTCGACTCTCAATGTAAGTGTCTTGACCTGGTCAGAGAAGTCACGCTGCAAACTTGGTGGTGTATGGACGCATGTGCTTCGTGTGATCCTTGTGGCTCAAGCAGCACATCCCAAAAAAAGGATTCGCTTTCAAACATTAACTTTCCAAACAAGACAGCTCTGCGCTTGCTGCTTGAATGCTATATCTCTTAGCCTTATTCAGCCCAAGTTGATTTGAGGTCGCGACAGTCCCAGGACTAAAGCCATGAATTCTATTCGCCTGCTGACACGCTTTGGGGTCAAGTTTCCCGGACGTGGACAGAGAATACCACAATTTCATTGTTCCATTGTGGGCAGGGCATGCCCTGCTAGTAGGATGACATGTGACCGGTGGACAGGCCGGCCCTATGGTACTCTTGGTAAACCAGAAGATGCAGGTGGCCAAGCAGTTTTCGCCAGCGCGCCTTGCGCCCTTTTGCCCACGTCGTTGGCCCCAGCATCGCTGGCAGAGAGCGACTATCGCTGGGTCTTCGAAGACTTGGTCAGTGTGGATTCGGTCGGGATCGGGCTTCCCGGCATCGTTTCGTTGGGGATTTTTCTGAACCCAATGTTTGAAGCGATGCCTCGCATTCGAAAGCTGGGACACGTCGGAGACATGCCTATGCTCCCATACTCAGCAATGGCATCCCAGGGAAGTGTTTGGACTGCATATGGCATGCTTCTAAACAATCCTGCGATATGGACACCGAACCTATGTGCAACGCTGCTTGGGGTCTACTATATGTGGGTCTATTGCACTCACTGCCCCGACTTGGGACACGTCTTGAAGATTCATATCCTGAAGAAGCTGGCCACTGTGATCTTTGCCATCGTAGCCTACGGCTTTCTGCCACACGATCTTGCCTTGAACTTGTTGGGAATTGCTGGGAATGTCATGACAGTCTTCATGTTTGGAGGGCCACTTGCAGCTATTCGAACAGTTGTTGCGGAGCAGAACACAAAGGCGCTGAACCTGGGTTTCACTTGCATTGTGAATCTGAATTGCAACTTGTGGTTTTTCTATGCGTACTTCATGCTTGATGATCCTTACATATACCTTCAAGATGGCTTGGGCATCATTTTGACAACGATTCAGCTGGGCCTTTTTGCACGGTATGGTATTCAGCGACACTGACATGTGAGACTCTGTCTGAGACAGACATAAGACATCATAAGACATATGTTATGTTTTCTCAACCTTGGCAACATGCCATTGGATGAAGAATGACGAGAGGTGGAAGGCTGTTTGCCAAGTAACCTCAATTGGCAGCGTCATTAACTTTTGAGCCATTTGCCAGCTTGGCACATTGAAATGCATTGGCTTCAGCCTCGGCTTTAGGTAAAAGATGCAAGATCTTTCTTGGTGTGTGACACCAGTGTGAACGACAATAGCTGGAGAATGTTTTGTCACTACAATCGTTTCGCTCCTTGAGATCGCATGCAAGCAAGACATGCACACATGCTATGTCTCATTTGGTCACAACTGTTTGTACGCCGACTCCTTGATAGAACGAAGGCAGGCCGAATGCACATTTCACAGATGTACCCACTGACTCAGATGCAGCATTTGCAGCCAATGCCCACTTAAACAGCATCACATGGTCAACGTGTTGAGTGAGCTGCGAATGAGCAGCACCTCTAGCAGCCATGGGAACTGCATCCCGTTGTTTCCTTTTGATCATGCTACTGGGCTCAGTGTGTCTTGTTCACTTGTGCAAAGTCACCAGGCCCATGCGAAAAAGCTCCTAGTAGCTTCTTGCTCCTAGTAGTAAGGCCCTAGTAGCGTCCTTGCTCCTAGTAGCGATGCCAGGAGCCCCTAGTAGCGAACCTTGTTCACCCCTGGTTGTTGAGGTGGAGCACAGCGAGAGCCGCATACTTTTTTGTCGAGGACCCTGCTCCTGGGACTCACTCAAGTCACGGGCGTTGTCATCCGACAGGAAGGCTCTGAAAGATGCTTTCAACAAGAAGTGCTGGAAAACCAGGCTGGAAAGCTGCCGAACAATGTCTCAAAGCCAAGCTTGGGCTTCACTTACATGCAGGTCCTTCGGATTGCCTACAATATGAATGACAAAGAGGTGGGCAGGTCCAGGCTCTTCAATTTGGAGGAGTAAACAATCATAAGAAATCCATTTGATTTTAACAAAAGAGATATAAGCAAGTATAAGAGGCCGCTGTTGCATTTTGTTAACTTGCTATTCTACCAACAATCTTTCTTGCAGGTACTCAATAAAGCTGAATGCAAGATCCTAGTCAAAAGTCCTTCAGACGAGGTGGGAGCTCACTGGACTGCCTCGACTCCCCCTTTTCCAGGAACCAAATCCATCATGCAAGCCTGAGCTCTTCTGCGTCCAAGCTAGTACTGAAATAAACTACTACTCACCCTGATTACTAGTTACTAAAATTTCTTCACGGGCTACCTTCCACACATACGCACACACCAATTTCAAAGCGTAAAAGGATCAACTTCGCTTGAACTGCTTAATTAAGCTCTTTCACCTGATTCAAGGTAGTGAAGGACCATGCGCTTGTGGACTCCCACGATGGAGTGGTCTTCCCAGTCTCTCTCAGCCTTTTGTGGTAGTTGTACTTTCCCAGTCAGACTGTACAGATTGATAGCTACTAGTAACAAGGGCATTGCTTGTTGCAAGGGCATTGTTATACTAGTAGCAAGAAGCTACTAGGTGAACTGGGATCTCCTCTTTCCACTTCAGGTCTTGGCACTGGTCCCAAAGGAGCCCGGGCCATACAGCATATGTGTAAAATGTGCTGGACAGGTGCAATCCTCAGCCCGTACTTGCACAAACACTGTTGCAACTTTGACTTGGGGTAGGTGCTGAATATCTTACGAATAAATGGCTCATTCTATTGAGTTGGACCGCAGATCATGACCAGCAGCGTACACATGTTTGCAGGGCCTTTTGTCAAGCTTGGGGGGGTGGAAGGACAGAGTGATGTGCATGTATCATCCAATATTTTCAATCAAGTGGCGCAGCATGAACGCTGAAGAGTGCTGTTCCGAAGGAAACTGCGATGGAGGGCCCTGCATGGTTTTGCTCGTTGTTCTTGCTTGGTAACGGTCTTTCTTGCACAGTTGACACAATTTTGAATGGTGCAGCGTTGATGAATATGTGGCGTGGCAGGTCTATTGCTTTTGAAGTGCTGGGTTCGCCCCGCCTTTATATTCTCCAAAATTTGAATCTCATGCCTCACGTCGCCTTGGACAAGTCAATTTGTGGCGATGTCCCTGCCAGGCGCATCTAGCCTTGGGTTGCTGCCGGACAGAAGCTTGAGATAGCTAAAATTCAAGGTATAACCAAAGTGACCAACAGGAAAGCCAAAACGCTGCAGTCAGCTCGGGGTTCCTCAGGACCCCAGGAATGCAGCCCACCTGTCACATTTGAAGGGCACGCAGGCGGAACTCGCCTTCTGTATGTTTTAGTTGTTGGCACATTTACACGCAAGTATGCACTAGTAGCAAGGACGCTACTAGGGGCTCCTGGCATCGCTACTAGGAGCAAGGACGCTGCTAGGAGCTCCTGGCCGTACTACTAGGAGCAAGGACGCTAGTGGTTTTCTGTCTTGTGCCGCCCAGATGTGCTTCAGGCCCAGGTGGATGTGCTCTTGGAACGAATCAATGAAGCCCTGGCGTGATTTGAGCCATGCCACGTCACGCCGCCACGCCCAGTCGCCACGCCCGTCGTCATTCTGGGGACAGGCCATTAGCGTCGAGAATGACTATGAGAAGGCCTTTGAGGCGACTACTGAGCTGACATGGCGCAGCAGTGACTCCTGGAATGGTGACGCATGTCTCTAGCTCCAGCCTTCTCAGTGTGACAGGCAAAATTTGTGAAGGCATCTGAGGCCGTGAATATGGATGTAGCAGCGTTCAAGTTCCTCCAGGCCCGGGTTGCATTGACGCTGTATCCCGGCCTTCTTGCTTCGAGTGTCCCTTGAAAGACATTTTGGGGGGTGCGCTTGCCAGATCATTCTGATCACCGGCGTCACGGCATTTCAGAGACTTAGCTTCAAAAGAAGGAAAGCAAACACTGTAGTATCAGATCCCACAGAATGCATCTCTTGAGCTCAGGATACACAATCTAGCAAAGTTTCTGCAGAGGCCGATAGGTGTAGACTGCGGTGTTTTTTTTCCCCTCATCTCTCGTTGCCAGGAACAAGTTCTTGGAGTGCTGCTTACCCATCGCCATGAGAATGAAACCAATGGTCACTGGGCGAACTGGGCGAACTGTTTCGCATCGAGCGTCGAAGATCTCTTTCGATCTGTTCACCGTCGCCAAGGTCTGAGATCGTGCGTAGCCCCCAAAAGGTCCGAAGTGCTTCAGACACAGAAGACTACGCGTCGTGTGAGCTGAAATTCAATAAACACCGTATCAATTTGATCAGCAAGATCATGACACCTGGCTTTGCTTGGATTGATATTGTGGGTTCGAAGCGCAGCCTGGTTCAAGTACTTCAAGCTTGACATGCCACCAGAGAAAGCCCAGCTCCTTAAGGACAACATAGAACATCATAGAACAATAATTGAGGCCAATTGAATCTGCCAGATCTTCCAGCTGAGGCAAGTGAAACGAGCAACATCTCGTCATTCTACCTGGGATGTTGAAATTTGTAACTCTCAGAATACTGTGCACATCCAGTACAGTACAGGTTCTACACTAACTGTACTTATCATATCCGCTGTTCTTGACTAACAAGCTCAACTCTAAATTTCACTAGCATGTATTTTTCATTGTAAACATCCTTGGTTTAATTAAATGGCCAAACCTGCGTAGCCACGGGCGCTTTCCTTGATGTACTTGACACATTCAAGTGCAATTGCAATCTGTTTCTGCGAGACTGAGGCAATATGCTGATTAGCAGACTCCTGTGGGCTTGTGCAGTGCTACATGCCGCAGCCTGATGGCTGCTTAAAGCCTGCTCCTGATTTTGTTGGCTTCCACATGAGGCTGTCCTATCGGCTACTGCACCAGATCAGGCAACGGACATGTTGTTGATTGGATTTTCACATATATAATGTTTTCATACAGTATCAATGCTCCAGGAGCAGGGCCCACCTTGGACCTATGCTGACCAAAGCAGCTGGGGCAAACTCAGTCACTTGCTTAGGCAGCGGCAGTAAGAGGCTCGCCATAGGCTCTAGCGGCCGGCGAGAAAGACCTGCAAACGCTCTGAATGCAAAGAGAAACTCTCCTTTTCAAGGTAACTCCAAATGTGGAAATGAGGGAGACTCTTGGATGGATTAATTTCCGAGATTCCGACAGCGGTAGGTCCATCCACTGCGGTGTGGGTTTCCAAAAACCGCATGTCCAAGCGGTTCCTGGGTCCAGGATCAGGCTCCGATCAATATTGTGCAGGCCTCAGTTTGAACAAGCTTGACCTGAGAAACTTGCTTGGCCTGAAATTCTTTCGTCGCCTTGGCTCAGCATAGATGGCAATGAGAGCGCCGGGTGTGCCCTGAGCGCCGAAGTGGCACAAGACAGGAGCCATATGCTGGAAGTGCACAGTGGCCACGGCAGGCACGACGAGCTGCTTCCCTTTGAAGGTATAGACTTTGAATCCATTCCAATTGTGATCGATGAATCCATTGAGTCAGAAAATGTGAGCGTCAGACACGCTCGTTTCACTGGCACCTCTTCAGCTTCTCGACCTCAAAGACCAGCACGGTCAAGTCGCTCAAGATCGCACTCGCCGCGTGCTCCAAGATCTACTCGCCGCGTGCTCTCCATTAAAATCGACGACGATTTGGAGATGATTGTTCCAGACCTTTCAGATGTACCACATGGGCTCCGTGTTGGAGCCACCAACAGGGCGATCCGACAGAGAGACATCAGACCGATCCGCAGTGCAAGTTTGCCTGCTTTGTACTTGGAACCCTTCCGGACTGCGGCAAGGCCGGAGCATTGTTCGTCCTGCAAGCGAAGCTTTCAAGACGGAGACTTGCGAGTTGACTACATGATGGAGCCACAGCTTCTACCACAGTGGGTACACCTCGGGTGTGCGAGGAGAGCGAGACTGAAGAGCATTGGAGCACACCTGTCATGTCATCCGGCTGTTGCCGTAGAGGACCAAGAAGAAGCATTGAAAGAATTGGGACGTCCTGGCAGGAACTCCAGAGCACTTCAATCCTGGAACTACTTGCGCGCATTTGTGCATCATTGGAACACAGTACTTGTCCGTGAGACAGGTTTCACCGCGACCGACCACATTGTGACATTAGAAAGAACGATTGCACAGATACTTGCTTCCTTGCCTTGTGAGCAGCTTCAGAAAGACTGCGACATTTGTGCCATTTGCCATCAACCAATGGCAGTAGGAGAAATTGTATGCACTCTGCCGTGTGGTCATTTCTACCACGTTGGCTGCATCGATTCCTGGCTGCGGATTCGGACAAGGTGCCCCCTCGACAATTGCGAGATCGCAAAATATTGGAACTAATAGGGACAGCTTGATTGAGCCTTTTGCACATGTTTGCACAGTTTGTGCTGCAGCATGTTGCATGTTCATTCTGGTTTCAACCTGGTGCATGGTTGAATCTGTAGCTGGCTCAAGATCATGTTGTGAACGCCTTAGCTTCAGAAGCTTCTGCCGCTGCGGCCCCTCGAGTACGCATCTCAGCCACCAAAGTGCCTGCGATTTTTCTCAGTTGTGGACGTGGCAGAGTTAAGGTTGGGAGGCGCTGTAAGGCATGGCTGGTTCCAGTGTCGGTGCCTCAGCTTTATGTTGTTGTGAGATGTTGATTCGCTGTTCAAAAGTATTGCATACTCAATCATTTGATGGTACCAGAGCAGTGCATTCTATTTTGCCTTGGTCAGATATGGGCAGACCTCTTCAATTCTCTTCCGGAACCACCATCTGAATATCCTCCTTTGGATGAAAGGCGTGGCTTGTATCTTATTGCCTGATCGCACCCATTCCCAGATGTAGCCGGTGCGCAGGGCGTACCCGGAACGCTTCACAGATGACTATTTCCGAGACAGCCTACCAGAGTTAGAGTTCAAGTTGGAAGAGGCCAGAACGCAGCAGAGCTGTATATCCACTCTTTTGGACATGACATATGGTCCAATGGTGTCTCATGGTTCATAGTTCATTTGACGACTATGCGAGTCCTTCTCGAAAGTTCACTTCGGCTAGGCCTGTGTGAAAGGTTCAATCCAGGAGGTGGGAGGAGCTAGGCTGCTAGCCTCTTTGATTCGGGCGATGGAGCCAGGTCCATGACCTCATTCTCAAAGGTGCGGACAAAGACGCTCCCTTAGACAAGGAGCTGAAAACTCCGTGACTTGGACGGAAAAGAGGCCGTCAGAGGTCGGGAGCTGGGGGGTAAACAAGAGCAGGTTAGGTATTAGCAAGGATGCAGTAAAGCCCTGACTGCAGGAAACTGTGGATGATTTTTTAAAGTAAGAACGTAGTATCGGGTCGTACCGTGACACCCTTGCTTCAAAACAATTTCCGCGTTTTGTTCATGTTTTGTCTCTGGAATTGGCTAAGGCTGATGATAGCCTGTCAACTTGGATGGACTGTGACTCAGATTGGAGCATAGACTGATCAAGTCTTAGTGCCATCAATTGTCCAAGGTTCCATTTGGTGAAGTGGCTGGTTGAGTTTGAGGGAGTTGACATAGATGGCCCAGTATCACGATGTGGCTTTCGAGCAATTGACTATGCGGGCAAGGCAGGGAGTACTTCCAGTGAACTGACTTGATCGCTTGGCTGGCGCCAGATCGGTCTCGCGATTGTCAGGAACAATTCCGGTGGCCCAATGAGGAGGCCAAAGAACTTGTTTAGACTCTAGACATACGGTTTCACCATTTTTCACTTGTTGGGATGTTGTTTAGACATCCCTCATGATATCTGAGAACCGATTGAGAACCGGGTGGGAAGCACTCTGGTAGGTGGAGATTGCCGACTACCTGAGGTGGGAGAACTCTGGGAGTGGAAGAGCTACCGATTTAGTGTACTGAGTCTACTGTGAAACTCGAAAACTGATACAAGTTGACGGTGCATTGGTCCACTTGGTACTTGTAAGGCTTGACCAAGAGCAACATGATCGCCGGACAGCCCTTTCAGTCTAGTCGATGTGTTGCAGGAGTTTGGGCTCCAACTACACCTGGTGGGGAGCATGCTTTGCCGGCGACATTCCTCGAATAGATGAGTATTTACAAAATGGTCAGGACTGAGCACACAGCTTGATCACTCAGCTCAAAATTAAATGGGACAATCCAATCCAATGTGGAAAGCACATCACTATGGGAGGACATCAACGAAGTCAATCCAGTCCTTTGGAATTACAATGCAGTGGATTGTCGTGGCCCCAGCTCATAGAACTTTCAACATGTGACTTAGATGTTTGGTTGTCAGTCACAGCAGGATACAACTACAGATGTCGCATTCAGCATGTCGCATCGCAGAACCCTGGGAACACCAGCATGTCGCATGGCTGATCTAGGTGCCATACATGGAGGGTGTGGGAAAGCTGCCCAATTTCTTGTTGCTCGTGGTGGCATCATCACAGTTCGAAATTGTCTCTTGGCTCGAGAGGAAAACAAGCGGTCCTCGGAGTCCTCACCTTCAAAACATTGCCATTTACTTTACAGGTAATGACGTTCAACATTCTTGTATGAAGTAGTTGACGTTTTCTTTTACCTGCTCTTGTCCTCTCGACATGAATGGCAGAGGGCGAGTGGCTAGTTCTGGCTGCTTAGGCCACATCCCAGTCTGGGAAGACATGCTTTGGAGTGTTGGTCGCGGAGATGCCTTCATGTACAAGGACGTGAAAACGCCGAAACGAAGCAGTCAATTCATTGAGCTACGCTTCGCTGAAGTGAGACAGCTCCACCAAGAAGAACAGCATACAAACAGCATGGAATGGCCATGTTTGTTGGGAGAGTGGTCTCACTGTAGCAACCACTTCCGTGTGCTTGCCACCTCCACAAAAGCTTTCCAAGCTCCCCCTCAGGAGATGGGCCTGGAGGAAGGGCCTGTCACAAAGCTCTAGAAGTGAGGTGGCGCAAGAAATGATGTGGGCACAGGGGAACAGATCTCAATGCAGCTTCATGCGAACTCTTTAGCATGTCTTGACATACAGTTCTTTTGGATTTTTTTTCGGCAACTTCAACCGTTGACATCAACCTCGATGCCTTTGCTTTGAACGGGATAAAACCATATAAAACCAATGTGTACACAAAGGGGGAAAACAACCATGTTCTGACCACAGCTCTTGTTGACAGCACTGCTGGTGGCACGAGCTTCTTCGTAACGCAGCGAGACAAAAGGCTTGCTTTGGTTGCAGCTGGTCTCTGTGAGTGCACTTGGCTTGATTGTGAACCACAAACCTTTCGAAGAACGTGGGTCTTGGAGTGCCATACCGGGCCATACCCTTGCCGCTGCTAGCATAGATGCAAAAAATATAGATGCATTGTTTCGATGATTGTGGCCCTTGCATGGGTCATTCAGGTCTCCAGGCGTTCAGATTAATGAAGCCCCCTGCAAATCGCCATGGTGCGGATGCAGAAAGCGCGGCAACAGCTTTCCTTGCGCTACGCCTTCAATCTGAAGCAGAGGAGTTTTGCAAGAGCTTGGATGCAAGGACTTTGACCAAGTGCATAGGCAGACTCATCCATTAATTCTTGGAATGATTGGCATGTGACCTCTTTCAATTATTGGTAAGCTGAGATCTGAGACAAATCCTTTTAGCCTGCTCAACTCTGGAGGCCACCTTGGAAATGTTCGGAAGCCGTCAGCAGTAGCGGCGCTTTTGGATGCTTTCCAAAGGGCGGGCAGAGAGCTTGATGTCATTCATTGGAATGCTGCCATAAGTGCATGTGCCAAGAATAGTAGCTGGGCGCTTGCTTTATCTGTTTTCGAGAAGATGTCCAGCCCTGATATCATTTCCGTTGGAGCCATGATCAATGCCTTTGCAAAAGCACAGCGCTGGACGGAGCCCCTGAAGCTCTTGGATGATGCCATTCAGAAGAAGATGCAAGCTAATGCCATTGTTTTTAGTTCGAGTATTGCAGCAGGTGCCAAGTCTGGAAGATGGCAGACAGCCCTAAGCTTGCTTTTGCGAATGGGTCAGCTGGAGGTTGGAGCGAATCCATTGACACTCAGCTCAGCCATCTCATGCTGTTCGAGCACAACTGAATGGTGCCAAGCACTGCGATGTCTCCCGTGCACAAGGAGAATGAGGGCATGTTCTTCCGATAACGCAGCTACAATGCGGGGAATTGAAGGAAGCTACAATGCAGCACTCGGCGCACTCGGCGCAGATCAATGGCTTCAAAGTCTGTGGCTCTTTCAGCTCATGGCCTCGAAGCGTTGCTTGGTGAGGATTCCAACATGGAACCCACGTCAACAGCGACCCAATCGGTGAGATCTTAAAAAGGATCGTTGTAGGGACCCAAGAATTACTTCTTGACGACTTAAAAACATCTTTGTGTTGTTTTTGGAACGCGCAGATTCAGGAGTAGGTGATTCAGCAAGCCTGACTTCAGTCATCGACTCAGTCGGCAAGGCAGGCTGGTGGAGTGCAGCTTTGGACTTGCTGGAGGTTGGAAGCCAAGGCCAAAGCGACGCCATCATGTTCAGTGCACCTTGGAGCACTTGCTTGGAGCGGAACGTGCTTTTTGCATGGTCTGAGTGTGCTAAATAGATCTAAATAGTGTCCGAACACATCAAACATGGACAAGAATGGTGAATGTCAACATACTTGTAGTAGCTTTTCTCTGCAGAGGTCTATTGTGCGGTTTCAGTTCACCACACAATGTGGCCAGAATGTCATACAATGCACCAAAGATATATAAATGTACCAAAGATATCTCACTAGACTCTCGGCAGAAGGACTATACAAATCTACCCCTAGAAGGAAGAGTGATTTTTGATCTGTGAGACGCACCAGACAGGCAGGACGAATCAGCTCTAAGGCCGCCATCAATGCTTGTGAAAAATGCGCGTGCTGGCAATTGGCACTGGGACTTCTTGCCAGAATGGGGCCAAGGACAAAAATCACCAGAGTTGGAGGCCATCTCTAGTAGGTTGGAGGCCATCGTTATTAGGTTGGAGGCCATCGCTAGTAGGTTTCCACCACTGCATCCGATTCGCCAGAGATGCAGGAGCTGTGCAGCGTGCAATGCGGCCATCAGTGCTTGTAGCAAAGCAACGGCATGGGTTGCTGGGTTGAGCTTGTTCAACCACATGGTCACCCAGGAATGCAATAGGATTTTCAGGATGTGTGTTGTTGTCCCTTCAAATTTCTCCCTAAAGGGTTCCATTTTAGTACTAGTGTTGTTTCACCGCCAAAAGTGCTTATTTCCGAACTGGCGGGAACCGCCTGAGCGCACATGATGTTGCATGGATGAATGTTGCAAGAAGAAGAAGAAGCAGAAGCAGAAGAAGAAGAATAAGCAGAAGCAGAAGCAGAAGAAGAAGAAGAAGAAGCAGAAGCAGAAGCAGAAGAAGAAGAAGAAGAATAATAATAAGAAGAAACAGAAGCAGAAGCAGAAGCAGAAGAAGCAGATGATGATCACCTATACTATACACTACACTTATTTTCTGTCTTGCTTAAAGCAAACTGAAGACCGTAGGGCGAAGCTTTTAGGAACACTGACCCTTGGAAATTTGATTTTCAGCCCCAAGGACATTGTCTACGCTTTGTTTTTCCTATCCGACTTCGCATAAATTCGGGCAAAGAAGACTTGGAACATGTGGGACATGCAAGTAAGACAATGTGATGGATAATCCTGCGATTGTGTCATGCCCCACTCTATAATATCTCTCACAACCAAAGAAATCATGGAAAACTCGCCCATATGAGGCTTTGATGGAACTTCGCAGAGACACGATTTCTTGCAATTCCTTGCTGAATGCATGCGACAAAAGTCAACAATGGATGCTGTCCTTGCATGTGCTGGAGACAATGAGGACTGAAGGAATTCAACAAGACGCCCCTGCCTCAGACGGATCACATTCACAAGAGTGCATCTTCACACAATTGCTATTTTATGCCTGTATTTGTTGCTTGTTTACTTTTCTTGGGGAGGCGCCGAGAAGACGTAGGGGAAGTGGCAAGGTGCTTTACAAAATCGGACGGAGAAGACCCCTTCGCATGGCCGATTTGGTTCCTAGATGTTCAAGGAAACTGAACCTGTTGGGGGGACACCCCTGTTCCAGCAAGGTGCAACAGGTGCAACTGCCAACACCAGGGATGACGATGGCAACCCCCGGTCAGAGTCGTCATTCAAACGGTGGCGGCCTCCCTCTCAAGTCCTTTTCATAAATCAGCTGGTTTGGCAGACGCGATACTGTAACTGGTGTAGTTTCGTTTCTGTGCAGAACAGGACGATTTCGCATGAACTAAGGCGATCACATTCACAGCAGTTCTTGGTGCTTGCGAGACCTCTGACCAGTGGGCGGTAACCATGCACCTTCTTCAAGAAGTACTTGATGGTGGCTATTGTGATTGGCAGGCGGATGACATTGACTATGTGCACTACTTTCAAGCCGGTTCTCCTTATGACTGTTTGAAGCACATGTTGATTCTGCACACCCTAACCAGCATGGTAAATGATGCCTCGCCGTTCTTGTACGTGGATACTCATGCTGGTACTGGAATCTATGATTTGAAGTCACCAGAGGCGCAAAGATTTCAGAACCACCAAGGTGGCATTCTAAGTTTGATGAAGGTTGAGAGACACGCAGCTTCGAAGGCGCTCTCAGACTACTTGAGATTACATGGAATTTTCCCACGACTCTGTCGCAAGGGTAGTACCTTTGAAGAGACATATTTGGGCTCACCAGCCATTGCTCAGTTGTTCCTGCGACCTCAGGATGCTGCCATTTTGTTTGATGCATCTCCACAAGTGGCTTCTGCACTGGACAGGAATCTGCAGTCACTTTCTGGGACGTCGAATACCGAGGTGTTCTGCACCAGTTCCTACAAATGGTTCTCAAAGAGTATCAAATCACAGTACCAGAGGTACGCTCATCTCAGCCGTGTACTTGCTCTAATTGACCCACCATATGACTCTGCAAGCTCGTCTGACAAATGGAACCTCTTCCTGGTGAAGCGCATCCGGACGATGTGGCCTCAGAGTTGTGTTCTTCTTTGGTATCCCTTCGTTTCGGAAGGTCAGACGAAGCAAGGCTTAGACTCACGTAGATTTGTCCTTTTGTGGTACGTTTCCTCAGTCCGTCTTACCTTGTCCCGAGAAACTTGGACAGTCATTTTATATACTGTAGTGGTTCTACAAAGGGTTTTCCTCATAGTCATAGAGGTTTGGGTCAACTGGGTACCCTGCGTAGTAAGTATGCATTTGTTCTCTTCATTCTTGACAGATTTAAACATACCACCTATTCTCTACCCCCACCCAGCCCCTGAATCTGAAGATGAGAGGAAGCGTCTCGATCAGCGCTTGGTTGCTATGGAGATCGGCACAGTTCTTGTGGCCGATTTGGCCGTGTCGCCAAAGAATGATGCGCCCTCAGAATCAAGGCGCGGCCCTGCGGACCCTGCAGGCTGTGTCACGCCGTGTCGCTGTCAAGTCGGGTGAGAGGAAGACGGCAGGTCTTAGATGGTTGACATTCTTGAAAGTTGGATCCAAATCGATTGTCCATATCAAGTTGCAGTACATATTTTAAAGATTTTTATAGTATATATACAACAAAAACAACACACGCATATATAACTATATATATATACATTTATACTTCCATGGACTGAGAACTTCTGTGAGAACATGTGGTGACATCTTGAGCATTTGTTGGTGGCAGGTCATCTATGGTGATCGTGAATCCACCCAGCTCCTTTGAGCAGCTGGATTTTTTTGCTTGAAGATTTGAGAAGGAATCTGGAGCGCGGCAATTCCAAGTGCCAAGCACTGGTATCATTTCGCCGTCTGGAAAAAGGTTTCTAGTGGGGAGCCGGATGTCCTTGTATGAATCATTCCGATTTCTGAAAGAAGAGGGTTCTTGTGATGCTATTCAGGTCACAACCGGGGCTTTGAAGCAGCCTGCACAGCCATTGAAAACCAGTCCAAGTCTCAGGCTTCTAAGGGCAAAATCGAATACCAAGCAAGCAAGGACGAGACCGAGACACCTTCTGTCCTAGGTGGCCACAGCTCCACCTTTGGCGGTCTCTCGTGGAACTACACATGGACTGTCCGACATGCTTCGTCCTCCGCTTTGGATCAGACAAAAGACCCCTTCGGCTTTTCCGCGGGACCTCAGTAGTGCCAGGCCTTTGGTGAAAGCCTTCCTTGGGACAACACCTCGAGGTTGGCAGGCAGGGTGGTGAGATGATGAGAGATGATACGACATGATGACAATTCACAAGTGCCGTTGCCGCAGGTGATGCTAACTCCACCCTACGACACCAGCACCATTTTTACCTTCCTCAACGGCAAGCAGTTCTCGCTGTGACAACCTCGGTGCTTGTTTGTGTTTCAGCCTTGCACTAGAATGGACTACGATGCGGATGTCTACGGAATTTGCTCAGCTCAGGCGGAAGTTGGAGTTTACCTCTCCATCCGAAAATAGCATCGATGGGCAGAGTGAGGGGGGCTTAATGAAACCATAAACCACTATGTGCATTGCCGTGCATCGCCGGCTTTGAGGTTTTGACATGGAGATGCAGCTGGTACATGCTGTTGTGCTCTCAATGACGCTCGTTGTGGCCTGCTAACAGATTCGTTGAAACTTCTCAGGCATCTGATGGTCAGATGCTGATCAGTTCAGTCTTCCTTAAGGCCCGACGCATCCGTCGGTCATCGGGAGTTGAAGCTTGCATGTGCGGCTCAAATGCCTCAATTCCTAGGTTGGACTCGTCGATGGCAACGAGTACTTGAGCACGTCCCCTTTCTCAGTACCAAATCCAAATCTTGCAACGCATGAGATATGAATGATATGATGGTACCTCAAAATCATCACTCTTCCAAGTCTACTAATAGGACAGATCAAGAACATTTGCTGGCGGGTGGTTATACCCATCTTAGACATACCTTTGATTGAATTTTAGAAGTGATGATGCATTTTTCTGCGAGGTTCTGGCCGCAATTCCCACCGAAGGTCACTCCAGATGGGTGGGGAAGCCCACGTCGATGGGTCGGATGATGGGAGTGGGAACATCGGCAGAGCGATGCTGATCGATGAGGACTGCGGCTCAGATTGCCAACCCTTACTACGCTGCTCTTCCAGGCCTGTGCTTTCAAGAAAGCTCGGGCCCGGGCTGGGCCTATGATGGTTTTCTATGTTTTTTTCCATACATCTTGTCTGCAGGAGGTCGCTCTTGCTTTATTTTCAATGGCAGCGGAACCGTACCTCCATGCGGGACTGCAAGTTTGTGTTGCAGTGCCATAGCACTTTGGGACAAATGATGACAAATGCCTACATCAGAAGTGCCACAATCAATCCATCCTTCAAGGACGGACACCATTTGGATGGTCTTCAAGGAGCCCCTGGTGATCAGCCGTGCGCAACGGGATTTGTACCGCGGAGACGAAGCCTTGGAGAGCGAGATCTGGCGGCGGAACGGCTGAGTTTGGAGAGCCGAGGCGCTGAACGCCAGCTCAGCCCACTCGGGCTTTTTGCGCTTTGCTCCTCCTCCAGCAGGTGAAAAAAAAACGCCCAAAACACGTCGGGCGTTGTTTGAATGCCACAGAACAAAGTATAGAGAGTCATTGCTATAGTGACTTAAGTACTGTGACAGTACTGTATTGCTTCAAGGTCTCCCGATGAGTTGGCTTTCAACTCAGCCAGGGTTTTGACTCGTGGAGTGAGTGCAGGTGTGGTGCAGCCTTGGAGCACCGACTTGGGCATGAACAACAGGCCCGAATACGGCACCTTCCATCGCTAGTAGGTTGGAGGCCATCGCTATTAAGAGTGCATGCAAAGCCGACTTAGGATCACGCAGCCCCAAGGGAGCAGACCTGCCGCTAGCCCAATTTGTAACTCGAGGCGCTCAGAGTTCACAAAGAGCCTCAGCATGAAGAGCACTTGTTTTGTGAAGAAGATACATGAGAATATGTCAGGATACTCAGAAAAGGCTTTACTATGCAGATGAGGTCCTGTTTCTTCCAATGTCCAATCCGCCTACGACGTCGGAGACTTACAGTACCTGATGACCTCAAACTTGTTGCTTCGCAGCATGGCCATGAATGGTTCAGGATGTCTTTTGATTTGGATGGTCATTTTTGGGCCACTTGGCACACAGCCCATGGTGGCCTGTACGGCCGTACGGATGGCGAGTTGTGATCGTTTGGTCTTTGCATTCGGTGCCTGGTGGTGCGTTTTGGTGCCACAATTCCAAGATTTCACAACATGCTTTATCCAAGGGCTTCTTGGGCATTGGTCTTTTGGCTCTCTCTGTTCTCATCGGAGCCTTGGCCGGAATGCGGCCAAGAGGAGGCCCATGTAAAGCTCAATGAAGTAAAGCACAGAGAGACGTTCCATGGTACCAGATGGTGTTTGGGTGGAAATCTCAGCATCAACTGGCCCGAGAATATCTAAGGGCTCCTGGCTTTGATCTGCCTGCTTTGTTCCGGGGCTGTGGCTTGGCTCGCGAAGAAGACACTCTTGCAGATACAGAATCATTAGGATGATATTGGATGCTCCTAATGATCCCTGTCAATATCAGGAGAGCACATATAGATGCAAGGCAATTGAATTCCCGCAAACATGGTGAGCCTTTGCAAACTAACTCGTATAATATAAACTGTATTGGCCAATATCATTTCAAGAGACATGACATGAATTATCGAGGAGGAGAGATTGGCAGGGTAAGTGTGCCTTTCGAGGCGAAACGGAATGTCCGCAGCAAGGTGCGCCTTCAAGAAATGCAGAAGCAATCAGAAGCACGTTTTTTTGATTTTGTTTATTGATTGTGTCAGGAAGTCTACAGTGCAGAAAGTGATGAGGCCATCGACCTATTCGATCCATTGACAGGGCCATACATTTGCTGGAAAATTGGGCAAAGTGCCGGTCAGGACCGGCAGCCCCTGCGGAGGCCCTGTGTAGAGAATGTCCTTGTTACTAGTAGCTTCTTGTTTCTCGTAGCTTCTTGTTACTACTAGTAAGGCACTTGTCACTATATAGAAGCGATGCACTTGTTCCTAGTAGCTTCTTGTTCCTGTGTAGAGAATGTTATGGGCATTTGCACAATCTTTCTCGACTTGGACAGGTTTCCACAGCCTGTAGCGAATGCCCCGCCATTCCCTGAGCCCATTCCGTTTGAAACCCACGCTATTATCTAAAATCATCTAAAATCATCGATTGATTGCGAAGGATGCAGCAGAGGCAGCAAATGCACCCGCAAGTGCAGCTTTGGCAACAGCCACCAAGCATGGGACTCTTGGCATTGACGGTTTGTTTTTGCCAAATCTCCAAGTCATTCCAAGTCAACTTTCGAGCAACGCCACCAAGGCGTTATGCCACAGTCGCAGATGGGGGGGAGACCGCCCTTCTGCCATGGTTGAGAGCCGAATGCCACGTTGCACTTGTTCCTAGTAGCGTCCTTGCTCCTAGTAGCGATGCCAGGAGCCCCTAGTAGCTTCTTGTTACTGCTAGTAAGGCACTTGTTACTAGTAGCGATGCACTTGTTCCTAGTTTCTTCTTGCCCCTGCAAGGCCAATGACACAGCCCATGCAATTTGGGGGCCCTGGACAAGCGCGCTACATGCGGTGAGGTCGCTATCCCGAAGAACACTCTGCTGTTCCCGTAGTCTCTGAATCGCACCACGCTCTTGTCGCAAGGGGCAATGAAGTCCAAGATAGTCCAAGACCTCAAGGCCGATTGAAGTGTCCTTTGAACGGTAAAGAGGTGCAGTAGTTTGTCGAACTTCGACCCGCACGAAGGTTGTGATGCCCAATTCGTTTGCATACATAGCTTTCAGTGGGAGTCGCAGCGCAGAGCTGCAAGGAAAACTGCGTTCGAGTCGCTGCTTGAAAGTGCTTCAGTTTGTTGGACCAAACTCTTCCCAGTCAACAGAAACACCTATTGCCAGATCAATAAACCTGTTTTCAGACACTGACATAAACGCCAGCAATTGGCGTCAATAAGTATTTATTCTCCGATAGTGCCAACGATTCTTTTGATGTTCGGCACAACCGGACCTCCACTTCATATGATCCAGAATCACTCCTTTGACACCACATCTTCCTTTCCTCCCGTACTCCTTCAAACGAGTTGATATGTGGTAGTGTTTGGTCCTACAATTGTTGTTTGCATGAGGATTATGCTTGCCTTAAGCAAGCTAAAGTTAATATGCGTTAATAGTTCTTTATGGCAATGGAGGTGATTATGGTACATGTGTTGTGATGGCTATTCTATTTGTTTTGGGTACAGTAGTTCTGTAAGTACTGTCTGTGCTAGCTTCAGCAATAGAAACCCCAACTGGGAAGATTGGTGTGCCAAAGTAGACCTTTGCATAGATCAATATAGATAAATTATATATATATATAGAGCAATTTGATGCAGGAAAATAAGTCCACTACGGTTTTGCAGTTGGCACCGTTTCGGAAGCTGCTAGCGGCCCATTAAGGGCTCCATTCCAGCCTTGCTACTTGTACTGCCAACTTAAGCTTGCACACTTCCGCTATCGTGCCGCAGCACCCATCACCATATAAGCTTCACCCAGACGCTAGCAAAACATCCAGCAACATTTTGCTTAGACTCTAGCCTGTGCGATATGAGTGCAATCCTGCACTTTCCAATACTGCAAGTTGTTCAATGTTTACATTGTGTGCAGGGACCGATAGGAGACCATAGGAGGCGTCTAGATTTGTTGGTCACTTATGGAGGGCGATATGAAGCTGGGGCAGCTGGCACCGGAGCAGTCAGTGCAGCTCTGTATCATGGTGCATGGCATGGGAGGTACTGATGCAGATTGGGACACCTGGGTCGATGTGCTGAAGAACCTCTATCCACATTGGATCTTATGGCCGTTGCAAAAGATGGCAGCAGGCTGCAGGTTCATGAGCAAAGATTTGCGCGAGCTTTCTGCCATGGCGGCAACAGAGGTTCTGGAGGTTATACAAGAGCAGAGGAGGGATATGAGCTCGAACACAAAGGTTGTCCTGCATTGCATAGGCCATTCGATGGGAGGCTTGATCATCCGTGGAGCACTGCCTAGAATAGTCGAGGAGTTTGATGGCTCAATTGAGCTGGGTCACTATCTCTCCCTTTCATCTCCGCACCTCGGTATACAGTCCAGCTGGCTGCAACCTTTGCATGCTTGGCGAAACCTGTGTTGGCTCTCCTGGCCCTTTTCCAAGCAGCTGTCACAGCTTGCGATTCAAGACTGCTCGTCCAATCCATTCCTGTTCGAGATCAGCAAATCTGAAGAGGAACACATGAGTGTTTTGGGACAATTTCAAGAGCGAACCTGCGTGTCTGTTGCTTTTGGAGATCCTTTAATTCCTGTTGCCTCCGGGCTCATTGATCCCGAAGTGCTCTTGACGAGTCACAGCATGGTGGACATGTCCTTTTGGCACTTGCGCTTTGACGAGTCCTTCTCCGAACAGATGGTGGGGATGGAACACAAGGACGGGCATGAACTCTTTGTATCACTCTGCTACGTCGTCGTTTGTTTTTTTTGTTTCATCACTGTCTCTTGAGGTATGCAGGGCTCTTACAGGGCTCTAACAAGAACTCGTGGACATATTATGACGACATCCATCACCCCAAAACCTGTATTCTCAGGTCTCGGGGTTCCCTCCTTTTCTGGGTCCCAGCAAGTGAGCGAACTGGTTAAATCAACCAATCAAGCAGGTCTGTTGAACCATATCCATGGCCAGGAGGCCACAGGATGGTTGAAGATTCCAGCGACAATGCTCGCTGCGATGCAGCTTCTCTTGAACATTGTCTTCCGAATTCTCGTAGCGATTACATCATTGGGCAGTCTTGCCAGGACTGCACAGGTGTGAAACAACATTACAGAACACCGATGTTGATGGGAAGTTGTGGAAATGGGAAGTTGTTTCAGCCATGAGAGGACACCCATCAGCAGAATTAATCTCATGGATAAGGTGAGCATGAGCCCAAAGACTCCATCAAGCCCAGCAAGTCCGTCCAAGTCACTCTCCTGGGCATTTTCCAAGGCGCCAAGTGATCGGCCGACACCACACCTGCATCCTGGTGCACTGTTTTGAAAAAGAATGGTGCATCCTAGGTTCAAAGGAAGTCTTTCGTGTGAGTGCAGGATCTGAAATGCAAATTTCCCGAAGATTCTTGGCAAAATCTAGACAAGGTGATGTTCGCCGGACCCAGGCTAACTCTGAGATATGCTAAGTGGTTAACATAAAGACAAGGAAGTTTGATGTTCCGCCTGCTTCAATCAACGCGCTTGGCAAACCAGGAAATCTACGATGGACTTGTCTCAGTGCCATGGCGCCGGGTCGTTGCTCATGCCCATCATCGTTTGATCGCCAAGAATATGTGGCTGATTTGCAATAAATGATGCACGTTGCGGAGGGAAGTCGCACACCCCCAAAAAGAAATTCACAGAGCAGTTGGCCAGAAGATTGGCCATGTTCTCTGGAAATGCTCTCACAATCTCACAATATCAAGCTGACAGGCATGTGTTCCTCATCGGCAAACATGCTGAACAGTTTGCTCACGAGAGTCGCGGCTGAAAGAGCAAGGTGTTGTTCGAAGTTTTTGCGCATAGCAAACTTACCGTGTAGCCCACTACCGTCCTGTGTTTGGCAGACCAGTCAGAGTCGCTCCCTCTTCATTGATTGCAGGGCACGCTTGTTTCAAGCAGATTTGATTGGTCTTTTGTCAGAGATGTACTTTTCCATTTCCTCATAACAGAATGGGCTAACGCCCTAGTTCCGCCAACCTCCGCCAACCCCCTTCATGCGTGTAGCCGGAGACCACATAGCTGCAGTTGAACAGTTTTGTCAGGCAATGTTTTAAAAAGAGGCATCGGATGCGTGCTGACTTCGACCCATGCGCAAGATTATATAACATGAGCAGGATCCAGAGTGCTTTGTTGAAGATCTGGGATAAAGCGCAACTCCAAGTGGGCCGTCTTTGACAAGCAGAAGTGGTGAGGAGGAGAAAACGGGCGAATGTTGGGCTAAGGTGCTGAACTGCACGCTCATCAGAAACCACAAAAGGGTGTTGGCTCATTTTGACAGCGGTGGTGTTGACAAGAAGACGGCAGAAATGAGGAGCAGAAGAAGCAGCAAGTAGCCGCCACCGAAGTCTTTGGACAGGCCGAAGCCCAAGAGTTACAACTGCCCCTCCACCATCACCCGACGCAAAAGCAATACCGGCAATGCCCCTACGAGTGCCCCCAACATGTGGGGGCAGCATGAAGAGCATAGTCTGGTCGGGGCAAACAGAAACGCATGGATAGGTGTGCAAGACCCGATTCTATGTGTCCAATGGAATGCCGCTGACGCCTACAATTGCCCTTATCCAACCTTTATCCCAAAGAGGTACTGAAAATGAAGTGAAGATAGAGCAAATCAATCAGGCAAAAGATAGGAAGGTGTGGGTTTACACACCGATGCTGATGCCCATCATGCTATGCCGCTGTCCAATCCAAGAAAGAAGTATGGTCAGAGGTTCCCACACATATTCGCGCAGCCGTGCATGCCGATGCCCACACCGTGTCCCCGAATGTCCTCAAAACGCTTGCCCGTCGGAAAAGGTGCCCAAACGGGCCACCAAGCAGCATCCACAAGCGTCAGACGCCGGCTTCCATGCCCGCTGTTCCTAGTAGCGATGCCAGGAGCCCCCGGTAGCGTCCTTGCTCCTAGTAGTAAGGCCAGGAGCCCCTAGTAGCTTCTTGTTCCTAGTAGCGATGCCAGGAGCCCCTAGTAGAGGAGAACGACTGTAGCAGAGGAGACGCCACCCTCCGCTGGTTCGCCGCTTGCCAAAGCTGCCCTCTTCCGTGTCCCAGGCGCCGCCCCACCTGGCTGGGGTGGGCGGATTACTTTGCTCGTAGCACCTTGTGACGCTTCTTCAGGCACCAAATGTCACGACAGTGCATTGAACAGTTGGCTAAGCTCTTGGCATGCAATGGTCATTATTTGTATGAAAGTGTGGAACATCAGAAGACGATGTCTTTGTAGTGATGGATGGCGTCCACCTTTCACGCCCTTTAATGCCTCATTTCGAGGCATGGGGAATTATTCCACATGCCAACATGCAGGTTGTGTCGAAAAGCCACAACCTCCAGGATGCATGTGGACTCCGGCCATCTGGAGCTGGCAAGATCCATAGAAGATCGCTTGTTTTCCGGAAGAATCCAGGTGTTCAACTCTAATCGCGCAAGGTCCGCAAAGGGGCAAGTATCCCAGTAGCCGCTCTTCAACTGTTCCAAGGGTTCTTGCTGGGCTTCCCTAAAGGTGCACGATGCCGCTTGGCAGTGCGCCGCCTTGCCTAAGCAAGGATCTTATTAGAGACCACACTCCTGTAGGGAGGTTGACAAGTGGTGCATGAAACAAAGCAGCGAGGTTTGTTGTCACATGGAAACCGAACACAGCCTAGACAGGCCTGGGTCGTTTGGATGACAGCATGCTGGCAGCTGTTGTGGCTCTCCACGGCACAGCCCGAGATTACTCCTTGAAACCCTACCGCCAAAAGCATCAAGGAAGGTCCAATCCCATCGCCCGAATGAGCCACCATGGTCACGGGAGCAAGCGCAAGCAGCGCTCGAGGCTGGGAGATTTCCCGTTCTCCCAGATCCGCTCAAGACTGTCCGCAGCAGGCATGGATGGCTTGTAGCTGGTGTGGCTGCTGCAGGCGCAGAGAGTCGTCATAGATGGTTCATCATCTTAAGACCACAAAACACATGCGCAGCACATGCATCACAGCTTGCAGGGGTCTCGCAACATGGCTTGAGCCCAGACAAAGCGCGTGGACCCAGCCATGTGAAGCAAGCAGGGGCAAATCACGGATTGTCAGCCGAGAAGCGGCAGTGAGGCCTGGATGCAGCTCAGATCAGTTCGTCCAGATCAAGCCAAGATTTGCACCTCGCGCCGAGGCCAGGAGAACGAAAGATCAAATAAGGCCAGGAGCCCCTAGTGCGTCGTTGCTCCTAGTAGCCAGGAGCCCCCCAGTAGCGTCCTTGCTCCTAGTAGCCAGGAGCCCCCAGTAGCGTCCTTGCTCC